CCCCGCCCCCCAATCCCACCAGCGATCCATAAACTCACAAATGCGTCTGTTCGTTAGGGCAGGTCACCCATGCTTGGCCTCCGGCAGCTTCTCTGCACATCCTTCATCCTTCCACCAGTGCAGGCTCTCTGTGTGCTCTGCCCCACTGACCCCTCCTTTGTTCCTTCTGTAGTGAGGAGCGTGCACTCTGGGTGGTCTTGTATGTGCCAGTGTTGTCACGTCCCTGCCGAGGTGGCACCGGCGCGGCGTTACTAGCCCAGGGTCTGGGCAGAGGCACGCACTCCCAGGCTCCTAGCAGCTCCGTGACATTGGCGTGGTGACTTGCCCAGTGTCCCTGTGCGGTCCACAGCAGGGCGCTGTTTGCCGTGCACAGGGGCCGCCTTCTCAGAGCTCGGAATGGGAGCCGCCACCCTGGCGCTGGTGTGGAAGGTGCTGGCAGTGACCGATCACGTGCTGCCCCCTCCCTGTGAGCTCAGGCCGCGTGCGCAGGCAGAGCACTTCCGAGTGGCAGAGGGCTGGCGTGGTTCTGCTGTCCGTGCTGATCGTTCCCAGCCCGAATGCTCCACAGCTCACACCAAGCCCTCACCTGCTCCGGCTCTGCTGCTCCTGTGTCTTCTGCCGGTGCCCACATCACAGACCTGGCCCCTCCGTCACCTTTGCTGCTCATTCTTGGCCCACCCCCGTGCAGCCACCTGCTCTCGCAGACCTGCCCCTCCTCCACTGGCCCCTTGCTGTGTGCCCCCGTCAGTCTTCCCAGCCGGCGGTCTCTCTCCCACTGTGCCTCCCGGTCTGGCTGCCCCTGACCCACCGTGTCCCCCACAGACGCCGTGCTGTCACAGCACCTCGAGCACCGCCCCTCCTGCCCCAGCCCTCCTGGCAAGTGCCAGGGCTCCAGAGCCTCCCCAGTACGCTTTCCCTGACAGCTCAGAGCGTGTTGCTTTTGCGCCCACGTGTCACTGCGATGGCCCCCAAGGCCACCTGGCACGGTCACTCTGATGGGGACGGGTTCTCTCCGCCTGTTCTTGCAGATATGCTGTCCAAGGAGCCTCCGTGGTGCGACGGGTCCACCTGTTACGAGTGTGCCGCCAAGTTTGGAGTCACGACTCGCAAACATCACTGGTAAGGCCCTGGGGTTCCGGGGTTGCTCGCCAGGGGGCGACGGCACTTCTGCCCGTCACTGCTTCTGCCTTTCTCTGCGAGATGCCGTGAACCTGCCAGGGCCCGGCGCAGAGCCTGAGTAGGTGGGGCGATGCCGCTGCAGGCGGTGCGCGGGGAGGGTGGGAGCCTCCCTGCTCCCGAGAGCCGAGGAGCTGTGCCCGGCAGAATGAGCCTGTTCTTAGGCAGTTGCTGAGGGGCTCTTGATCTCGAAGAGCCTTCCCCGCTAGCATTTTAATGTGCCTGCAGGCCAGAATTGTGTTCGCACCGACTCAGTAGGACATGTGTTGGTGGGTGGCAGGCACACGGTATTGGCGCCGCCGTGGCTGCTGGAGGCCCCCCTCACACCCCCTTGCTTTGCTTCCACAGCCGCCACTGCGGACGCCTTCTTTGCCATAAATGCTCGACCAAGGAGATTCCTATTATAAAGTTTGATCTGAACAAGCCCGTGCGAGTTTGCAACATTTGCTTTGATGTACTGACTCTGGGGGGGGTCTCTTAGGGAGCCCCCAGGCCACACCCCGGTCACCTCCCCAGCAGCTGTTCTGCTTACCAGCCTGACCCACCCAGAGCAGGGGTTGGCCGGCCCGTCTTCCTGCGGAACAGACTGAACGATTAAGGACCACGGTGTGATTGACCCCATTTCAAGGATCCGGTGGGTTGTCCGTGTGTCTGACTGGGATTGAGGTCACTGGACGACTCGGTGGGGCAGGCCGTGTCACCTCAGCGGCACCTGTGACAGGAGTTGGACTCCATTCGCTTGCAACTTACAAGGACACTCGGAAAACCATTCCCCTCCCAGTAGCTTAGTGTCCATGTTGAGCATTCCCGTAGTCTTCCTGCGCGGGCGGGCGGTCAGAGCCCTGCAGGGGGAGGCGGGCGTCTGGCCGCTCCATGAGCGCTGTCTTCGCTCTGGGTGAGTGGCAGTGCGCAGCGTTTTCATAAAGATTATAGGATACTCTTGCCCGAAGTCTTTTTTTTTTTTTTTTAAACCTAAGCTGAGATTTTTAGTGAGCTGCCCCTTTAAAAAAGGTGAAATCTTTCTAAACAGGGTTCAAAGATGAGAGCTGAAAAATTGTGGCCTTAACAACTGAAAGCTTTACCTGTCTTGATGCTCCTGGGTTCAGGAGTGCGGCGTCTCGTTCTCTCGTCTGGCTGTGTCCTGCCGCAGAGGCCTCACTCTGCCACTGGGGTGGTGGAGGTGCTGTTTGTGCTGCACTTTTTATACAGCTGCATTGTGGGTGATTCCGATTTAAAAATCCATATTCAGAAATAGCCTCACACATCCACGCGTTAGTGATTCTAATGATCGGCTCTGATGGGACCTCAGTGCACACGCAGCTGCAGAGCGTCCCTGGGAGCAAGAGTGTCACCCGGGCCCAGCGGTGGGGGGGGTCGTGCAGCCTCAGGCCGAGTTCCCAGCGGCGTGCCCCGCCCAGCAGGTCCGAGCCGGTTGGGGACACGCTGGCTCGTCTGCGGAATGAGGCTCCAGAGCTTCTGGCCCTAGTCGCTGCGAGTGCGTGTGCTAACCCTGTGGCGCTAAACGTCTCCTCTGAAGGTTTGGCCAGTTTTTTAAAAAATGTACATTTAAAGAGAAACTCCTAGCACTGCTTTAAAGAAAGAAACTCTGAGATAAACATGTGTGTTCATGAGTTATTCTCAGAGATTAACAGTCTCGATTGTAATGCTGACTTTTTAGACATTTAAAAACCACTACATTGTTTTTGCATTAATGAAGTATGGGTATAAGTCTAAAGGGACTAAATATTTTTTTGGGTAGTAGTATGTTCTCTCTGTTGCTATAGATTTATACATTTTGTTGCCTAAATGTGTGTGTAAAATGAGCTGATAAACCAGAGTGCTACTTTTTAATATTTCTGTGATTTATGAGATATATAAGCTTTCTATGTTAATATGAGCTTGTGTACAATGTTTAAAAGAAAAAATTAATTAGAAGAGTTCCCCAGTCCCCTAAGTCTGTGACACATTTCCTATAGACTTTTTACAGAGGAACAGCTGGTCTTGGCAGACACTCGCCTACGTGAGGCCTGTGGTCAGCTTCCATTTTCTGGTGCCTGAACGGGGCCACAAGGAAGTAGGGCTTCGTGAGGTGGCCTGGTTCTGTAGTTGGAAGGTGAGATAATTATGCTTCAGATGTGAATCGAGGCAGCTGGTACTTTTATACTCGCTCTTTCCATGTTCATGGTGGAGAGCGGAGGGTGGGAAGTCCATCAGGGATGAGGCTGACGGTCTTGCTCCTGCCCTGCCATTACCAATTTTAGTAACAATCTTGCCTCTAATTGCACTTAAAAATCTTAAAAGGCCTGTTTAAAATATGTCGAGTCCAGCTTCTGTTTCTTCACAGAGTCCAGGGATGGCTGTGGTACCGAGCAGCCACGGAACAGGGGAGCATTTTGTGAGTTCTGCGCCAGCTTCAGGCTGCGGCCTTGTACATGTAGACGGGGCACCTTTCCACAGCCTCGGGGGGTCTCCGGGGCCACGGGGGTGCTCGCTGGGCTGCATGCAGCTGCCTGTGGGACCCCCCCCCCCCGGCACCACTCTTCCTGGCACTCAACGTGCTGTAGAATTGCAGGGTTGTTCTCCTTACAGTTTAATCCATAGCTTAAATACTAGTGGTGGAATCTCGGTTTTATTCAGGGAGTCACCAGTTGTGAGGAGTACAGCGGGAAGAATAAACTTTCTGAAACACAGTGTGTGCACCCGTGAACGTTGTTACACTGCGTTAGCCCTGCCTGCCTCCTGCTCATCGCCAGGCCCACTGGATGGCATCCTCCAGCAGTCTCTTGCACGCGCTGCGTGTGCCCCCAGCGGCTGACTTGCTGCGATCCCCCAACGCGGGAATACCCCACCCAACTCAAGTGCCTCCACTTAGGACTTTCTAGTTCTCGGTGACTGTAGTGGTGTCTCGCCACATGATGTATCAACGTGTGTTGCATCTGCAGTTTGCTGCCTGTGCGCCTGCCCGCCCCAGTCCGCGGTTTGGTCGAGGCTCGCCTGCCGTGCTCTCTCCAGCAGTGGGGTCCCCGTGCCCGCTAGCCCTCTACCTCAGCCCCGGGTCACTTGTGGCCGTGCCTGCACGGAGCCCAGCGTGCCGGCGGGTTCGCCCCCGCTCCGCTCGCGGCCCCCGCCTGTGCCACTGAACGATTCTGCGCTGATCTTATCCTTGGGCGTGAAGTGGAGGGGAAGCCTCGGGAGGGGCTGGGTGATGCTTAGACCCGAAAGGTGCACCAAGCCCCCAGGTGACGGGTGATCGTGCGCAGGGGAGACGCTGTCACGACGGGCACCGAAGGAGCTCCTGACAAGTCTTCTTGCAGTGCTGGGACTGCTCATGCCAGCCGCAGAAGAGGGGGGGGCGCGGCAGCCACATTCTCGTTGTAATTTAATAAAGTAGTCCGTGAAGAGCTGACGGCTTGACAAGATAGGAACACTCAGTGAGTTCCCTGAAGTCGTCGCGGGTGCCTTAATGACTTTCTCTGGAGGATTGCTGCCCGTACGGTCCCTTTGCGGTATAAATCACACGCTAACCCGTTGCACACAACACAACTGGACTGCTCGACTTCGTGGCCTGTCCTTTTGGGGCAGCTGTGTGAGGCCGGGGGCAGGGCGGCAGCGGGGCAGGAACTGAAGGCGCACGTGCGGGTGGATCGCTTGGGCTTCCGAGCCGTCCAGGGCGGTGCTCAGTGCGGGACGGCGGTATCATGTGTGGGACCAGGACGCTTTGATCGGCATTGTTTCTTTGGAGTCCATGTAATGGAATGTATTTTTCAAATACTGATATTTGCATTTTCTTTAACAATTCCTTACAATAAAATGAGGTAAAATTGTGCGTTTCAAGTGGAAACTTTAATAAGACATTTGTAGTTAAACTTTTTAATGCAGAAGTACCAATAAGCATTAAAAACAAAATTTTTTTTTTTGATGTAGTGATCCATGATTGTTTGCATATAACACCCAGTGCTCCACGCAGGACGTGCCCTCCTTCATACCCATCACCGGGCTAACCCATTAACTCCTGGCACGTGAACACATTCCTTGAATAGCTCACCCTCTCGGGAAGTTTAGATTTCCAACACTTTTCAGAAGCACATTGGTGACAGCAGTCAAAAAGTAGCTGTTTTAGGCATAACCCACCAGCCGCCTGGACATGCTCCAGGCCAGGCAACAGCCCAGGCTGTGTGGGTGGCCACGCTCCTCTTGAGACTCCTCGGGAGGGTCCAGCCCCGGCGAGGGTTCTGCTGGTCGTGGTCTAGAGGGAGGCCTGGCACTGGGGGTTTCAGAGAACACTCGGGAAGGTGTGAAGTCGAGGGGCCCATAACGCCCTGAACCGACCATACAGCTAGCCACCCCCACCCGGCACCGCACGTGCTGGGACGGACGCACTCCCTTTCTTTCCCTGTCTTCCAGCTTGCTCCCCCTGCTTCCGACCAGCTGTGGAGACAGCGCTCATTCTCTGCTGGCTTTTCTCATGGTTAACGGGCACTGTTAAGTGCTTCCACAGGACAATCTCCCGTAAACCTAACAGGCGTCCTTGAGGGGAACACTAGTCCTAATATGTGAGTACAAACAACGGGGCCTGCGTAGGCTCCCACGCCGTTGCCCAGCCGGGGAAGGGCACTGGGTTTTCGTTCTGTTACTGATCCGCTGACAGTATCGGGCAAGCGTCGTAACTTCTGGGCCTTAGTGTCCGCACCCATAAAGCTGGAGTGGCGACCGCGGTCCTTCCTGGCTCCTACGGTCTCTTTCCTTGCGGGAGGTCATCAGAAATGGGTAACGTGCCCCTCCTCTCATGCAAGGACACAGAACCCCCTCCGGGGGCGCTGATGGGAGCAACGTCTGCGGTTTCCCTGCAGGAGCCTGGGGCCTCTGCTGCTGGGGGAGCTCTCAAGACGGGGGTGGGACGTTCGCTTCGTCCTCTAGGGGCACCACGGATTTCTGGACAGGGCCCCAACCTGTGCGCGGGGTCTTCCAGGTCCCAGTTGCCCCAGAGCTACACGAGCCAGGGATGGGCGATGGCCTGGTATGGCTCCCTTTGACCCCCAGGCGCTCCACTCCTGGGTGGGCGCGGGCAGCTGCCCGGCATGCTCAACGCAGCCCTGCTCGTGGGGGCAGCAGGAAAGCAGATGTGGGGGAACAGCTCAGCTCTGTTGTGCCCCTTCTCCGGACCCTCTCAGGGCCGGCAGAGAGGTTACACGAGAACAGGTGAAGCCCCTTGCCCAGCATCATCTCCCTCTCCAGCGAGTCTTCCCTGCCAGAGCCGTCCTGGGGGGGCCTGCCTCCATCCACCAGAGCTCTGCCCTGGGGCCACTTCCGGAAGGACGAAGGAGAGCGACTGCTCCAGTAACCACGAGCTTCCTCACGGCTGAGCCCTTTGAAGATTCGACCGCCACCCCAACACAAGGAGCTCTTCACGATAAAGTACACGGTGGTGGCAAAGAGGAAGTGAGCAGCCTGCAGTCCGGCGGAGAGTGGGTGCCCAGGGCCCTCCCCGGCCACACTCGGCCTGGATGACAGGGTGCCTTGTTCCGTTCATTTCTATTTGTTTGGGGAGGGTCTGAACTCCTCTGCACCTGGCCCCCACACTGTCCCTCATTCCCACCCCGAGGATGGCCTCTGGGGCTCTAGCGGGGCTCCTGTCGCCGACTATAACCTCCCTGAGGTGAGCCTCGCCTGCCCCCTCCCACCCCACAGGGACACAGCAAGCTATGGAGGGGTGCAAACAGCACGGAGTTGGGGCAAGAACCTGGAGTTCGAGGCTCAGCTGCACTGCTCTGTGCTGCCTCATCTGCAGACTAAGAGCTAACTTGCGCACTGACACCCCGTGCAGGGTACTGGGGGTGCAGGACACCAAGCTGGGGAGCCCTCGGTCCTTGTGCAGGGAGAGCGGTGGGCGGGAAACCCGGGTGGTTGTCTTACAAGAGAACAAGGCTGCAGGCAGGCCAGGCGAGCACAACCTCCCGAGCGGTGCCGGTCCAGGCAGGAGGGACAGCCTGGTGGAGGCTCCGCAGGCACGGTGCGGTGGACGAGGCTGCAGGGAAGGGTGCCCCGGTGCACGGGGAGGTGGTGGGAGAGCCGTGGATGTGGGAAGTCACTGAAGGTGGGGGGGGGGGCCCCGGGTCATCCAGGGTGACCGCTCACAACAGGGTGGAGGGCGGCATGGGAGACTTGTGGCTTCCGGGTGAGAAATGACAGCCCGGAGCTGGGGAGGCTGCTGGGGGGGGGTGGGCTGGGGGAGGGCCGGGGCCCTGAGATGGCCTGGGAGGAGGGGAGGAGCAGAGGACGGCGTTCTGGATGGCGGCCGGGGTCCTCACTTGGTGTGCCATCACAAGGTGACTGAATTCCAGAAGCGTGGAGTCTGGGTGCCTAGGACGTGCTCCCAGGAGCGCCTATCCGGATGCAGCTGAGGCGGGAGTGAGGAGACCTGGTGGGGGGCGCATGGGCCGAGAGGGGTGCCTGGGGGAGAAAAGGGAGTCAATCAGGCAAGAGCCAAGGGAGGGTTTCCCAGAGGCCGTCAGGTGTGGCCAGTCCCGGACGGCCATGGCCTTGGGGTGAGGAGGGCAGAGTCTAGCCTGCTGCACAGCCGAGGGGGGCTGAGGAGCAAGGACCCTGAGTACACGCAGCGTGGCCACAAGTTTAGCTGTGGCGGGAAGTAGATCAGTGCCACAGAGGAGGGCTTCCTTCAGGAGGGGCAAGCGCCGTGAGGCAGGCGGCGGCGGGGGGGGCGGCGGCAGGGTAGGTCCCCAGTAAGAAGCTCCTCCGGTCAGTGGGGTTGGCAGAGGGGTGACGGGTTGCCCTGGACACACACCCCACCGGGAGCAGCATCACAGCAAAGAAACTACTTTTTGATCAAAAAGCAGACTTCTCCCACACCTAATTCTAAATGCTTAAAAGAGAATATCCTCACTTCAAACTGTTGCTCGGAGGCGTCTGGATTTGCTGCCTCCATAGAAGCAAAAGCCCTTCCCCTCCAGGATGAGCCTGCCCCGTTTCCTTGTTCCCTCTCCCGGTCGGGCTCAGCTCCCATCAACTAGGTGTGGCGTGGCTTGGCTCAGGGTGGAGGTCAAATCAGGGGAACCCAGGAGAGTGACATGGACGCTCTTAGTGACCCGTGGCTTCTCTGGACGCATCTGCCTGTCTCTGATTTGCCGGTGCCCCCCGTGCCCTAACCGGGTGGGGAGTTACAGGTAGGGCCTGGCAGTCCGGTTAGTTTTGAGCTGGTCAGATTTGCGCGCCTTACCGTCTGAGGGCTCTGAAGAAGGATGGCGAGTAGATCACAAACAGGCTGACCGGTGCCGGGCAGGTTGGCGCGCTCTGGTCTCAGGCACAGGAGGGTGAGCCCTCGGTGAGGGGCGTGGGCCACGTTTGCAGAGTATGGGCAGGGTGCTTCCAGGCAGGGTTCTCCGTGGGTTCTCACCATCTGGGGCACGGGCTCACAGCGGGAAGGAGCAGGTGATGGCCGAGGGTGGGCAGCCCGTGTACTCCCCCAAGTTGGGGTGGTCCAAGTCTCCACGGTTCGTGTCTGCAGGGAGGCCCGGTGACTGGTCGCTAGGGGGTCCGGTGGTTCTCACGCACACACAGCGGGGCTCCTTGGCACCCGGCTTGTACAGCTTCCTGGGGACACCGATCCAGTCTCTGCTCACACCTCCGCTGAGGAACAAGGACGTGTTACTGGCAGGAACTCATGAGTCTCTGGGGAGGGGAGCGGGGGAGGCCACCTGGCGATTTCCCGAGGTGGGGGTCTGCAGCGTGCGCCCCCTAACCCTGCCGGCCCTCCTGACGTCCTCCAGCTTCCGCTGCCGTCCCGGGGCTCCTGGGCCCTGCCCTGCGCCTCCCCAGGAGCCAGCGGCACTCCCCCACACTGCTAACACCTGGGAAAGGCTCTCCCCCACAGGCCTGTGGCCGTCTCAGAAGCAGTGTCTGGCTCCAATCCCCCACTGCATCCTAGCGCCTCCGGCACTCCTTCCCTTCCCCTTACTGCACACCCCGTCCCTGTCTGAACTCAGGACTCCTTTGTCGTTTCCAAAGGGAGTTACAACAGAGCTGAGGCACAGGGATGGGGTGGACTCGCCGGCGGAGGGCAGGCAGTGAGGCTGGAGGGGGCCACTGAGACCGGCAGGCAGGCCCTCCGGTGGGCAGCCCAGGTTCCCCGAGCCCCTCTTTCTGGAGGCCAGGCCCTGTCTCTTCAAAACTGGACAGGAGCTTTCCTTCCTGCCCCTTCCACACCTGCTCCCTGAATTAAGGTGGAGGAAATGTGATGGACACAGGGGCTGGGCCTGGGGAAAGCTAGCAGCTTTGGCTGTTGGCTCTCGTCCACACAAGGAGAGCAAGAAGGCCTCTCCGCACAGAAGAGGGTGGACGGACACAGCTTACACTTGAGGAAGGGGCTCCCCTGCTTCTCAGGGAGAGCTGGGCTCGTACTTGAGGCCCTTGAAGCTTGCTGTGTGTGCCGGCGGGGGGGGGTCCCCATCTTCTGCATCAGAGTTAAGGGGATTGAGGGCCTGATGATTAAACACCTGTTCTTCCTCCAGCTGCCCCCAAACAACCCAGGAATAATCTCTGGGGCGTCTACTCTGATCGGGCTCTCCTCACTTTATTTCTACAGGAAAGGGCTTCTCGGAAACACTCAGCAGTTGCCATGTTTCGTGCCGCGGGCCGGCCCCACCTCCTCGTCCCTGTAGGCGGCTGGGATTTGTGCAGACGAGGGAATGGAGGCCCCTGGACGGATCAACAGGCCAAACCAAGCAGCTGTACTTGGGCCTGCTCATCCCAGGCTGGGGTCTCTGGGGAGTGCAAGCAAACAAAACACACGCCCGGGTCCTCACCGTCACCTCACCTGTTGCCAGGGCCCCCAGAAGCCTCGGACATGTAGCCAGGTGAGACTCGCTACCCAGAGTGCCTGTACTTTGAAAGAGTCCCCCTGGGTGGACAGCTGGGTTATGGCGTCACCGAGTCACGTGTGGGAGGGAAGCCTGTGTACCTCTCTGGGGAACACCAGAACCGGCTGCCCCTGTTGGAGCTCCACTCGGCATTGCACGGTGGGAACGTCTGCTTCTCCTCCAGCGCCCGCCGGCCCGCCTCCAAGCCTTGGCTGATCGTGGCTTCCACCTGGGTCAGCTCCGGCGTAGGGAGGCCGTCCTCGCCGTAGAACCGTCCTATCACCCTTCCTGTGGCGACCGGACAGCTGATGTCAGGGTCTCGGTCACCTCCATGGTGAAGCCCAAGCTCCCAGGGTTCCTGGCCCAGGACTAAGAACCCCTTGATGTCTGACAAGACCCCACACAGAAGCGAGCCTGCTCTAGCTGTGGACTCCCCCATACGGAGGCCGCCCACCCTTCCCCATATGCAGACAGCGCTTCCTGGAGGGCAGAACTGCATGTGATTCCTTCCTCCATGCTCCGTGGTGCTGGAGGCACGCAGGACGTGTTCCATAAACGTACGACAAATGACTGGCTTATTGGGTCACGTTTTTGTGGCTCAATTCTTCCCAAAGTGAAATGATTTTGTCTTGTAGAACTATCAGTAAGTCATTTATTGAGCATTTACTCAAGGTCAGGCGCTACGCTTGCGCTTCAGCAACATTCTGCAAACCCCCAGAACCACCTAGGAGAGAGACAGGGAGGCTGAGTAGCTGGGAGGGCCCTGAAGCTGGCGCCCACACTCTCCCTCCACCATTCTCTCTCCCTCAGTCCTGCGGTGCACAAACTGAATGGAAACAGCCAGCAAGTGGTCCATGAACCTGCAGGCCTGAGCCAGAGGGGTCAGCTCTCCTTTGGGGCAGGGACTTTCGTCTCTGAGTCCTGATGTGCGGGCTGCTTCCTGCAGCACCTGCCACAGGAAGCAGCAGCAGAAAGTGCTTCTAGAAGGGCCGGCCAAGAAGAGCAGGTGCCTGAGCAGCCTTGAGCCCTGCACTGCTAGGCCGCCAGGGGCAGCTTCGTCCCCCCTCACGGCCAACCATCCCGACTTGTCCAATTCTGTTCACGTCACTTTTGTGACCTGGATTAGGAGCTGCTGCTCCTTCGTATACAACGTACACTTTCCTGTGCTCATGACCATCCAACAGCAAATCTCGTCTGGCCGGCCTCTAGAAGACACCGTGGTTCTGGCCACCTTCATTTCTAACCCAAACTACAGCCTGCAGCTGTGGCCTCCTGATGATCCAGCTACTTCAGTTCTTTCAGCACAAAGCAATTGACTGATTTTTGGAAAACATGAGTCACTTCCTATCTCCTCCATGCCGTGGCTTCTGAAAGCATGTGGATAAAATACAGACTTCTTGTCAAGGCCTCCAAGACTCTTGCCATCTGACTTCTCTTTGCTTCTGCAAACTCTTCCCAGGCCATTCCTTCCTTCCCTAGTGTGCTGTCGGCTCTGCACGTTGGCTTCCTTTCTATCTGCTGACTGTGCTTAGCTGCCCCCCGTCTCGGCACTGCTCCCTCAGCCTGGAATACTCTCTTCCCAGACCTCAAGTCTGACTGGCTCCTCACATCCAGGTCTCTGCTCACCTACTAACCCCCCCAACAGGCCTCCCCTGAACATCTGCTCAAAGGTGCCACACCCCACACCCCACACACACATCAATCCATTTTATTTACACTCAGTCCCAACTGGGATTGTGTGGTCGGTTTACTTGTTCATGTATGTCTCTCCTCCCCACCAGTGAGGCCCCAGCCCTCAAAACAGCCCAGTACCGAGCATTCATTTTCAGTGCTTGTTAGAATATATGAGGGCATCAGGGTGCAGCCTCTGAGTTGATCTAGCAGAAAACTTCCTCCTAGAGGGTCTCTTTGTGCACAGCGACAAGCCTGTCATGCTGGGTTTTAGACATGAGACCCACAGAGAGGCAGGAGTCATAGAGGCAACAGAGAAAGAGTTGGAGAAGCTGTGTTGTGAGAATGGCAGTCCCCACCGGCTGGGTCTCCAAGCCAACACTGTATCCAGAACACAAAGACATCTCATGTGCCTGTGAGGCTTGGCCACTGGCTGCCGAGATGGCTTCCTATCTTCACTTCCTCCTCTGGTGGGGCTTTTCTGGGCCCGAAAGAGCCTAACACAGCCCCCCTCCTATAGAACGAGCCAAAAGAGGGCAGGACCTGCACTCAACTCATCCCTGGTCCGGTCCCCACGAGGACCAGAACCATCACTTACCCATAGTAGGTATTCAAATACATGCTGACTGACTACAGTCCCTTCCCGACCCTCACACACATACACTAACACTGTTCAAACACAGCACTTTGCTCCCCAAATATCAGGATGACGTGTTTGGTCTGGCAGCTTTTGCCCACTCTCAGGGCTCTATTCTTATTCTTTTGTGTTAGGATTTCTTTTCCTTATTAACCTGGTAATATTTCAACCAACCTCCCGGGAAAAAGGGAGAACCCAGCCTCCTGAAGGTCTGCAGAGAGCTCTCAGTCCCTTCAGTGCAGACGTGGTTGTGGTGTCAGGAATGGCCCGGAACAGCCTGGAGGAAAACCCAGAAGGAGGTGTGCAGGCTGGGAGGGCAGGAGCCAACAAGTGTGTGTGCTGGGGGGCTGCACACAGAACTGTGGGTGTTCTGGTCAGTTGGATGTGGAGGGAGCGGAGGAGCTCGGGCAAAGGCCAAGGTTCTCAGAAAAGGTAACCCAAGTGGTCAAGACAGAGCAGACAGTCAGAGGTATTAGGGGCAGAGACGGAACGCTCCCAACCGAGACCCGTTCTGGTGGTGAGGAGCACTGATGTTCCCCAGGCAGTCAGCCGTGTCCAGTTGGGCTCCATAGAGGGAAAAGGGCCCCAACCACTCCAATTTTCAGTGTTTACAAAGCACTCTAGTGTTTAGAGTCTAACATTTCTCTGGGACACTGTTAGGTGTCTTTCTATTTCAAAGGTGATTCCCTCCTTGCATGCCCGGCACAACTGGCTTTAACAAGTGTCTGGGAGACAGTTCCTTCGGGATGGACACAGACTAATGCTGGTCTCCCTACAGGGTTAAATAAGAGTATTTGTCAAAACTGCACACAAACGTAGGCCTTGAGCCTTCCTGACTGGGTGCTGAAGCCCGATGCCTGGGACCCAGCGAGGCTCCTAGAGCTGGTGATTCAAGGTGCGGCAGGTAACCCCTGGCTTTGGGGCCACAGAGGCCAAAGCAAACGGCAGGATCATCCTCTCCCAAGAGTATGAGTGAGAGAAACAAGTGCCTCAAACACTTCCTTCGGGGACTCACGGCCACACTAACAACCAGAGTTTAAGGGAAAATTTCATGGGTATTGTACAGATTTTAAGCTTGAGTCCAATCCCCAACGAACTCTAACTCTTTTAAAAAATTGCAGGACAACTGAATAGAATCTATGGAAGTGACCTGTGGAATACCTACCAACGAATTCGTAATTCTTCTCGTAGAATGAAAGCCAATTTTGAAGGGTCAGCACCTCCGAAAATGACAAGTCAGCTACATGGTCCACCAGGCCTGCTTCGGAGTAGTCCCCAGTCACAAACGCCCTTGATGCATCCCGGCCTGCAGGAGACGGGTTTCCAAGTAGATGAGCTCGTAAATTGCCGGCACTGTACCAACTCAAGAACCTATTTTCTGAGAAACATCTGGAAACCCCTAATCCCCATCTCCAGGAAAAGCTCATCTCCCCTCGCTGGGACAGATGTTAACACAAGTATGTCTTCCTTTTAACACTTGTCACAAAATAACTCATTAATTGTTGATGTAATAACTATCTAATGTCTGCCTTTCCTACTGGTCTGCTAGTTTTATCAGGGCAGAGAACACACCAAACTTAGTATTGATTCCCCAGTGTCTGGTAGTGCCTAGTCTTTAGTAATTATCAATAAATATTGGCTGAATGAAACCCATGCATTTACAGTCAATTTTCAGTAAGTCAATTCTCAATAATTATTTCAATAATTCAAAGGGGGAAAGAATAGTGTTTTCAACAAATGGTGCTTGGACAACTGGAGAGCAACATGCAAAAGAATGAAAATGGGCCCCTACCTCACAACATATATAAAATTAACTCAAAATAGATCAATGACATGAATGAGCTCAAACTGTAAAATTCTTAGAAGAAAACACAGGGTAAATGTTTGTGCCCTTGGATTAGGTGATGGTTTCTTAGATAGGACACCAAAAGCACAAGCTAACAAAGAAAAAATAAACTCGATCAAAATTTTAAAATTTTGTGCCCTACAGCACACAATCAAGAAAGTGAAAAGACAACCTACGGCAGGGGAAAAATAGTCACAAATCATGGATCTGATAAGGGCCTAGTATGCAGAGTATATAAAGAACTCTCCCAACTCAAAGTAAAAAGACAACCCAATTAAAAAGCGGAAAAGGATTTGAACAGACCTTTCTTCACGGAAGATACACAAATGGTCAACAAGCACATAAAAAGATGCTCAACATCATAGTTATTGGGGAAATGCAAATAATCAAAGCCATTAAATGACTATAATCAAAAAGATGACCAGTTTGGCGAGAATGTGGAGAAACTGGAACTCTACTACATTGATGGTAGGGGTACAGCCACTTTAGAAAACAACTTGGCAGTTTCTCAAAAAGTGAAACACAAGAGTTACTACATGAGAACTGAAAACACAGGTCCAAACAAAAACGTGCACATGTATGTTCATAGCCGTGTTTTCGTAATAGGCAAAAAATGGAAACAACCAAAACGTCTAACAAATGATGATTAAATACACAAAATGTGGTATATACATACAACAGAATATTATTTGGTCACAATGCGGAATGCAGTACCGATACGTGACGATCCAGCCTGGATGAACTTTGAAAATGCTGCGCTAAGTGAAAAAAGCCAGACACAAAAGGCCTCATGTATGACTCCACTTATATGGAAAGTCCAAACAGGCATATCTTCAGATGGAAGTAGACAAGAGGTTGCCAGGGGCTGAGGGGTAGGAGGGACTGGGGAGTGACTGCTAACAGATACGGGGTTTCTTTGGGGTGATAAAATGCCTGGGATTAGATGATGCTGCGGTTTGCACAACTTTCTGGCTATATTAAAAAGTACTGAAGTGTATACTTTAAAGGGGTGGATTTTATATTGTGTGAATTCCATCTTAATAGACAATAACACAAATATTGACTGCACGAACGCACATCTCCGCTTCCCTCCTAGGCTGTGTGGGTGGTAGGGAGCACGAATTTCTGATTCCTCAGCACCTGGCACGAGGCGGGCTGCGTGGCAGTGGTCAGTGCGTCGATGCTGAGTGTGCAACAGGCACAGAGGAACTCGGCAGACGCCAGAGCACACTGCAAACGGTGACCCCGGGGGTGAAGGGTTTTACGTTCACGCTTGTGCGTCCTGCTGTGGCAGCTGCGACAGGGTGTGACGGGGCCCTGCACTGCCGACTGCCCTCGACGGGCCGGTGAATGAACCCTGACCCCAGGCCCAGCTCGGCTTCTAGATCCCTGTGTAGCTCCGGTAAGTTCTTTCCTCGCCGGGCTGTTGGAGGAGCTTGGCAACACCAACTGACCCGTCCCTGAAGCCCTCCCTCCGTACCCGAGGCGGCTTCCCAACTCTTACGACTAAGACAAACGGAAAGTGCGTCTTTAGCGTCGGCCTAGTCACCGGCCGAGCTCAGCACCGTTCGCTGCTTTTTAACCCGGGCGGTGGTGCTCCCTGCAGCCTGGTTGACGGGGCGGCAGAACACATCTCACCCGACGGCCGGTGCGGGCCCAACGCACGCGCAGCTTTCTTCGGAAAGACCGTGAAGGGGACCAGACCTCTCTCTGCTCTAGCCCCCCCCCTTTAACGGACCCAAGTGCATCTGTACTAGACACAAGAACGGCTCACAGCAAATGGGCTATTTTTCGGGGGAACTTGGGTGGGGATAAGGAAGTCCCTCGGGACGGGGCCACCCTGGAGAGAACACGAGTCAGTGGGGGACACGTCTGAGGGCAGGGGCGCCGTCTCATCCGCCGCTGCGCCCTGAGCCCCGTCGTGGGCCGCTGGGCAGCCGACAAGCGGCAGGAGGCCCGGTCCGCGAACCTCCGTCGCAGAGGGCGCCTGGGAGGGACAGGCTGGGCTAACAGCGGGCCACCATCCCGCCCGCGTGCAAGGGCCCGGAGGGAGGGTGCAGCCGCGCACGGCCCCCACGTCGGCCTGACGACTGTGGGGAGAAAGCGGCCGATGAATGCGCGGGCGAACGACGCAAGGGCGGCTACCGGCCGCCTCGCTAATACCTGCGAAGCCGCTATAGTGGGCCCCTGGCTCGTAGTGCCTCCGGCCGGAGGACACATCGTAGACGCGGCCGAGCAACGCCAAGTAGAGGCCCGGGTCCCCGGGGCCGCCGCGGTAGCGGGCCAGCTCCTCGGGGACGAAAAGGCGAGGGCCGGCGCGGCCGCTCCACCAGCCCACCCACCGCGCCGCCGCCGCCGCCGCCGCCGCCGCCACGGCCAGGCCCAGCCAGAGCCCACGCCCGCCGAGCCTCAGCATTCAGACCGCAGGCGGCCGCCCCGCCATCCAGGGCCAAGATGGCGGCGACGCAGGCGCGACGCCACCGGCGGACGTCACCGGCGCGACGCCCCGTCGTCCCGCCCGCGCCACCCAGGGGACAACGGGGTCCTGAAGGGAAAACGGCTTTGGCGAAAGACCCCTGCCCGGCTCCACTCCCCGGCTCCGCTTTTTTTTCAGCGTAGGTAGTGAACGTGGAGACATAGCGAGAGCGTAAGCGGCGAAGGCTCAGCCACGCCGGTTGTCACCCCCAACAAAGATGGCGGCAAAGGAGGCTGCGGGATGACGTAGACGTCAGGACGCAACTCGCCCTCTGGGAAATCGGGTTTCCACCCCCTGCGCAAGCCGTCCTTCGCGCTCTGTCTTACGGCATCTGCTTGAGTCCGCTTGACGGCGCCTTTGCGACGGCAGGCCTCGCTTGACGGCTAGGAAGCCGGAAGCCTCTGCCGCCGTCGTCCCCTCCCCGTCCGCCGGGTGCAGCCGGAGGTTGACAGGTCGAGGCGGGGAGGCGGCGGCGGCGGCACAGCCGGGCGCCCGAGACGGAGACTCCATGGGGAACGCTCCGAGTCACAGCAGTGAAGACGAAGCGGCTGCCGCCGGGGGCGAGGGCTGGGGTCCGCACCAGGACTGGGCCGCGGACTCGGGCACGATCTCCGGCTCGGGCCCCCCGGCACCGGCGCTGCCGCCCGCCGCGGCGCTGCTGGAGCCCGCCCGACTGCGAGAGGCGGCGGCGGCGTTGCGGCCCGCGCCGCCCTGCGAGTCTCTGGTGTCTAGACACCACGGCGCGCTGTTGCGCTGGCTGGAAGAGCGGCTGGGCCGCGGCGAAGAGTCAGTCACCCTGGAGCAGTTCCGGGAGCTGCTGGAGGCTCGTGGCGCCGGCTGCTCGGGCGAGCAGTTCGAGGAGGTCAGGACCGGCTGGCGACTGCGGGGCGGCGGCGGGGCGGGGGCAGGGCGGGTGTGAAGAGCTGGGCAGTGGCTCTGGACTGGCCAGGCAGGACCCCGTAGGGGGCAGGTTCTGAGAATGGGAGCTTGGAGCGCTCGCATCCAGCCTGTACACGCCGGGAGACGGCTGCGAATCTCTTTAACCTCTGCTAGAGGTGTGGAAAGCCTGGACTAGTCCGTCCTTGATTTGAAGAACTCGACAAGCCCCAGTGTCTTTGCATGTGCTTGTAATACAGACACTTGTGCTGTTGCCTGACGCTGCCCCGGTTGCTCTCTGGATCTTCCTTATCAGTCTCCGGGACGGTTGAAGGGAACGGAGGCCTAGGGATCAAGGGAGTGGCAGTGAAAACCATTCTGTTTTATTGACCGGTGGGATTTTACAGAGCACCTTCTGAATCCAGTGTGGGCGCCTAACAAATGTGGGAGGAGAATGACATGTACTGGAAAAGCTCACATTCTAAAAGCCATTCTCATCACACAAAAACTAGCTTTTCCAAAATACACATTTAGTTTTTAGATAGTAAGACTCACTTAAACCTCCATGTAACCTGAAACTGACAGCCAAATGTCAGGTTTCCTGCCAGTACTTGTAATGATACAGTTTTTGGCATAATCACCAACATCATCTCTATTAAATCACGAACAGCAAGTTGATATGGCAACAAAACATTTTTTTCTCAGAAGGGATGTTAGGAATTACTTGTACATTTCATTTTACAGTTAAAAAGAGAACTGATCCAGGGTCTTCCACTGACTCATTGGCAGCCTAAGACCTAGCACTCAGATCTCTTGATTTGTTTGCTTCTTTGTCTTATGTCCCACTGCCTTCTTCTTGGGACCCTATTTCTTTAACTCCACGGTGTTATAACAAAGAGATGCTTAATTTGTGAAAATGAGTAAGTGGGGTAGAATCTTCAGTGTCAGTGAAGGGTGAGCATGTAAAGCAGTAAACTGGCAGGTGCTTGTAATGCCATTAAAAAGTGATGTACACTTTACAGCCAGAGGCTTTTAAAATATTTTAAGAATGTTTTCCTGTATACGGTCAGAATTCAGGTAATAGGGTTTGTATGTTTCTTATATTTTCTTTTAAAAAATACCTGTAAGACATCCCAGTTCCTGAAGACGTGGTCATACTAGTTAGTGAAGAGTCTCCATGTGTATATTAATTCCAAGAGTCCACATAATTCTTCACTCTCTAGCTCTGGGTGTATTAAGAGAAAATGAAGGGGCGCTAGAAAGAGCTGTGTAGATCTGTTGAAGGAGTTGGCACATTTCAGAATTGTCCAGAAGGGAATAGAGAGAAACAGTATTCACATTGAGAGTGTCTGACAGGACTAGAGCTACAAGCAGAGGTGACAGGAGTCCTATAATGTAAGGCCAGGAGTCCTTTTTTAAAAAATATTTTATTTATTTACTTAGAGAGAGAGAGAGAGAGAGAGAGAGACACAGCATGGGCAGAGGGAGGGGCAGACTTCCCGCGGAGCAGGGAGCCCGATGCGGGACTCGATCCCAGGACCCTGAGATCATGACCTGAGCTGAAGGCAGACGCTTAAGCGACTGAGCCCCCCAAGCGCCCAAGGCCAAGAAGTCCTTAAGGTATGGTCCAGAAATCACTCAAGGGTTATGATATTGTTCACTGACCAAATATTTGTTGGGCATATACTGACTACCAGGCACTTGGATGACAGTGGACAAAGCAGATACTTGCTCTTAAAGAGTGTGTGGTACTGAAGGAGACTCACGTGAACCCAGCAATTATAGGTATACTGAGTATTAGCCAAAGGAAAGTGTAAGGGAAAATAGAGCAGGAGGATTTAACCTCACCTAGGAAGTCAAGGAAAACTTACCTGGAAAGTCACATTTCAGCTCAGAATCGAAGGGTGATAGATAACACATGAGGAGCAGAAGGGTTAGCGGTGTTTCAGGGAGAGGGAATTCCGTGCACAAGTCAAAGTCCAGAGAATGGAGAATTCGGAAGAACGGTGTGATGTATGAGGCTTAGATGAAACTGCTGCAAGGGACAGAAAAGTCAGTGCATCCGTGGTTTAAACGGTCGACCAGCTTCTGGGCACCTGGGGGGCTCAGTCGGTGAAGCAGCTGCCTTCGGCTCAGGTCGTGATCCCTGGGTCCTGGGATGGAGCCCCACATCAGGCTCCCCCTCTCCCTCCGCCCGCCACTCCCCCTGCTTGTGCGCTCTCTCTCTGTCAAATAAATAAATAAATAAAATCTTAAAAAAAAAAAAGTAAACAAGCTTCTTACGAAAAGGTCCAGGTGGGTAGTCCAGGTTTGACCTGGCAGTTTCCATCATCAGGGACCTGGCCCCATCCATCTTGTGCTGTCATCCTCCACAGGCACCTTCTACCTAGTGACCCAAAGGATTCCTTCAGCTGTCACTTTGTGCATTACAACTGCAGGAAAGGGAAATGGAAGGAGAGGGCCACGCCTCCTTTCTTAAGGGCAGGGCTCACCTCCCATTGGCTCAAGCCCGGTGACATGGCTGCACTGAGCTGCAAGGGAGGCTGGGAAAGATTTCTATTCCATGTACATGTATGTAGCTGAAAAATAAGGATGTGATTACTGAGAAAGAGGAGAACAGATAGCAGGTTACAATTAGTAGTGTAACACACATGGCTGGATCCCTGAATGCAGAAGGGGAAGAGGAAGGCTAGAGAAGTAGGCAGGAATCAGGTCATGGGGAGTCCTTTGCAGCCTCTGTTATATAGGAGTTTGGAAACTGGAGCAAGGTACATGATGCTGTGGCTGCCTTCTGGGGCGCCGGTTGTAGAGGGGCTAGAGTGGGTCCAAGCAGATCAGTTAGGAAGCTATTAACGATAGTTCAGGTAAGAAACTAAGTGGCTTGAGGCTGGGGTGATGGCAGCTAAAATGGCATGAACAATTCTGAGAGCTATTTAGGATGTAGAATAAGCCCCCTTGAGACTTATGTGTGAGCAGAGGATTATAAGGGGAAAGGAATTAAGGATGACTTCACCAACATTACTGTCTTGAGCAACTGGAAAGGAGATGGGGCTGTTAATACTGAGAACAGAAACTTTTCAGGAAGGGAAGACCGGGAGACAGGACGAGTTTGGTTTGGCCACGCTGAGCTTAGTGTGTCCGTGGGGCAGCTAAGTGGAGGTCTCTCTCAGACTGGGAGTCCTAGGGGAGAAGACAGCTTGAGACACAGTCGTCTGTTCACTCATTGGGGTTTCATGAGAAAATAGCCACATTGTTTCCTCCTACTGTGATGTGTGTATGTGTGCTCTGTGAGAACTTAAATCCCTTCGAGGGGTGGACTGTTGAGCATAGTTAAATCCAGAGGTCATTCAGCCACTGTAACTAGAGAAGTATATGGGAAGAGAAACCTGAGTGGTTGTACCTTCCTGTTATGAAACTCAAAGTCACAGTAGTCACACTGTGGCAGAAATAAACATCAAGGAGTCAGAAGCCCAGCAATAAGAACTGGTGACTTGTAAAATGTTGCAAGTTCGTTATTTTACTTTTGTAAAAATCCCTGGGGCCACCTAGAGCTGTGTCATAGGGTATTAAGTATCCATCTACCAAACAAACAAAATACATGTTTGGAAGTCTTCTTTCACATCTGTATATAGCTATCCCCCCTCACTCTCTACAGTGTGTTCGCATACCTGGTGTCTAGTGATTTAGGCCAACCGTGCAAGGCTGGTGGGTGACCCCAGCCACCACACTGAGGATGAGACTGAAGACACTGTAGGGCTCAGGGACTCACTCAAGTAAGATTGGAAAATAAATTCTGGTACTAACACTCTAGTGTGAGTCTTCTGACTCCAAGCCCTGTACCCTTCCTCCTCTAAGGACCTGTTTCTCTGGGATTATTTTTCTTTAGTCTCATCATTTTTTTTTTTTTAGTCTTAATTCTTTAATTTTTCCATGCATGCTAAGGGAGACCTAGCAAGAATAATTCAAATTTGAGAAAAAGCATCATGTATTTTTCTTGAAGCCTATTCACCCTTATTGGATTTGGTACAGGGACAGTTGGGGTTGGCCTGATACTGAAATCTGGTGACTTTCCGTTCCCACTGGTTACCACTTCTTAGTTGAAGAGAGCAGGTCTGTCTGCATGTGAAGGCTTAGCCAGGCTTGAAAAAGCTGATTGGGGTAACTCACAGCGGTTGTCCTGTCCGTAAGTGTGGAGTAATCATATGGGGACATGTGCAAGAAGCTAAGTATTAGCCATATGTGTGATTCTGTGCTCTAAAATAGGTCTGTCCTTTGGTTTGAGTAAGATAATTCTGTGTCTTAGTTCATTTTGCACGTAAGCTTGTGAAAATGTATTGTGATACTTCAAGTTTAAAGGTTTAAGGGAAATGATAATAAAATGTCTTTATAGCAACTAAAATGATGAGTTTTTCCCCTTCTTTCATTTTATGAGACCCAGCACAGTAGAGCAGGTTACCTTTGGTAGACATTATTATTATAATGCCAAGTGTTTCCAAGTTTTATATGCCTGTTCTTGGGCTCCAGATCTGCACTGCCGTCTGTGTTCCCCCAGGTGTCTTGCCTTCACGTTCCCATGACCTTCGTTGTTGGAGGTGGTACCCTAAAGAAGTTGCTGGAGTTGTACTATAAGTCAAAGTCTGAAGGTTTATCATTTTCTAGTGACATACCTTCTCTCGTGATAGGTGTGGCCCACGGGGAAGGACTCTGGTTTGGTCCTAGGGAGCAGTATCTAATTGACTTTTATACAGATGAGGAATAGAGTTAAAATTAAATACCTGTTTGACACCAGAGATTAGAGAGTCCGTGTTTGCGCTCTCAGTACGCTATGCTTCCAGAAAATTATGTAGTGTGTCGGGCAGGAAAAGGTGCTGAACAGAGGATGATGGCAGATGGCTTTCAGGTGGGAATTTGAGAGAAATAGGTCCTATTTTACTGATTTGCCACACTAGTTCTGGTGCTTCCTTTGTGAAATTCATTAGGCTCTAA